ACCCAAAATTGATGATTGTTCACCTGCTTGCTGTGTCGACGTTTTCTTATATGTAAAAGTCTAGATGTGCTTCAATCGACTAGAAATGCTAGAAGAATGTATCTAAAACGTGAAACGGATCTGAGAACATCAAATGCAACTTCTTTTGCTTCAATGCAGATTAAACTAATTTCATAAATTCATTCGTAAAAGTTCCCAGGATGCTTGCAAAGCAGAACAGGATTTTCCTGTTCTAACACTTGCCAATTGTGTAAGTATATCTGATATCTTTTTGCAGGTGAATCGGGCTTTGCTATTTAGAGCAGTCCGTCATTCCAAGGCAGTATGATTCAAGCAGACTGCAATGTTTCCTTGGCAGTGCCAGCCTCGCGGACGGCGTTCGCGACACGGGTAGCAAGGTCGTCCGCCTCGGAGCGGCTTGCTGCCTCGGCATAGACACGCACCGCATCTTCCGTGCCACTTGCACGGGCAAAGCTTCTGCCCTTGTTGTAGCGGGACTGGAGGGACTCAATCTTAGCCTGGAGGCCAGGGGGCGACTCGAGCTTGCGCTCGGCATCGTAAGCCTTGAAGATGGAGCGGTCTGCAACCTCCACGCGGACAAGACGCGAGGGAAGGTCGGTGTAAGTGGCAAGCCACTCCTTGGGGCTCCAGCCCTTGTGAGCAAGAATAGCTTCGACCAGGAGCATGTCGGAGATGGCATCACCGACCGCCTGGTTGATCAGGTCAGTAAGAGCCTGGAGGCACTCAAGGGAGCGCTGCTGGGCAGGAGACTGGGGCTCAGTGTTCTTAATGGTCTTCAAGGCGGTCTCGGAGAAAGTAATGGTACCGTGACCGTTGGCCTCGAAGTAGACGCCAACGTCGAAGCGCAGGGCCGCATGGTGCAGATGCTTAACACCAGTGTTGGTGCAAACAGAAGGCAACTTCAGGACCTTCTCGATGTAGTCCGTGCTGGAACCATTGGCGTAAGCGGTCTGGACGACGCCGATCTTGAGCTTCTGCGCAATTCCAGCGCTCCGCGCAAGATCGCCGATGAAGGAAGCCGCAAGGGTGGCAATGCGGTCACCGTCAAGCAATCTGAAAGTGTTGCTCTCGTCGATGAAGTAGTACACGATACGATCGGCGTCACCATCCAGCGAGGCACAGCGGTCAAGAGCAGCTGCCTTGGAGGAAGGCGGGGCACGTTGTTTCGTTTTGACATAATCGGCACCACACTAGAAGCCAGTCAGTATGCAGATAGAAAGCAGGCTGAACAGAGAGGGGTTCGGACTTCAAAGTTCAGGCTATCAGGGTTAATGACATCATCATTAACTATTTTGATATCCATGCCACCCTCCTCCGGGCCGGGCAGGTACTTGATGAGCTCCCTCAGCTTGGGCCCACCAACACCGTTCGCGCAGTCCACGGTCAACGAGCCCTTGACCTTGACACCACGCATAACTCTCTTGAAAGCTTCGGCAAGCTTCTCATAGTAGCCCTGCTCTGTGGGCTCGCCATACTCATACTGGGTGCCCAGAGTGTTCTTGCAGCGCACAACATAGTGGAGCTGAGGGGTGGTCATGTACTTCAGATCGATGAATTCGACCTCCGAAGCGGTAAGGGCGGCATTGATGACAGAGACCAGACGCGAGCCGGAGGCACGAGTGTCGCGAGCGAAGACGACACGAGCGGGGTTCTCCATGCTGACATCGATCTCCTTGATGAGTTCGTCAAAGACATCACCAACCTTGTCAAGCGGGGCATTGGCAAGTCTGGTGGCATAGGTTTCCCATTCAGCCTACAGCGATGTGAGAAAGTCGTCGCATTTCAGTATCCCACAGCTCCGGGAGCTTACCTCCAACATTTCACCCTATGCAGTGTTAGCCACTTATCATGTCATTGCACATACTCCAAGCTGGCGAGGTTCACGGCGACTCACCATAGGATCAATCAACTTGACGCCATTATCTTCCGCAGGGTTGTGACTGGCAGTGACCATGACACCAACCCATTGTCCACTAAGCTTTCTGGAGCGAAGCCCAGCAAGCAAACCCACGGTGAAGACTACGGTGTTGAGGAGATCACTGGCAATGCGTTGGTCAAAGTGTAAACAAAAGGGCGGTCGCGGGGTATTGTGGAGGCGGGGTCGATCCTTCGAGGTGTTTATCGGTAGGGAGCAACTTACGCCTTCATACGGAACTGCAAGTAAGGGAGGTAATTAGTACATCTTGTTTCATATCTCTAAAGAGTCGGTTTTCATGGAGTAACGAACTCACCCCCGCGGTACCATATTGAAAGACCTTCCCTTCGGGCTTGGAGTACTGCGACGCCGCTTCAGCGATCGCCTTTCTGATAGCCGGGGACGCCATTGTGGCGCAAACTAAACCAAGGATAAGTTGACTAGCACCAAAAGGACTTGAATAACTGAGACCTCAGGGGGTCAGAGAACATATAATATGAAGCGAAAGGGGGGGTAGAACCACAATAAAAAAAAAAAAAAACGAGAGAGGGGGAGGGTCAAATAAAAGATTGGGTGAGACACGCTCCGTCCAGCTCAGGTTTAGTTTCCTGCCCCTGTTCCCCTGTTACTGCCTTCGTGCCCAGGGTCCCGAGCGGTGGGCGGTGAGGCACCCGCAACAATCATGGCATGGTGTGGTGCAATGCAGAAGCGGGAGGAATGGAGTCGAAGCATTGCATGGCACGGTATGTCTATTCACCTCTCTCTTTTTTCTTTAATTAGACTTGGTATTCAATGAAGATAACTATAGCAAAATTATCGCCCATTATAAATACTAGGAATGCCCCATTTATTAGCTGATGATCTGGCGCGGTTGGTTTGAAAACTACTACTCTATCATATAATACAAGCTACTACTATCCGATCACCTGCACCGGTGATACGAAGCTGGACCAATAGACCGGGTGATAAATGGTCATGCGTGTCCAGATACGTCGGATTGAACCATTGTGCTCAATCAGGCTTTCAGCCTATCGCCCGCCACATCGTTCTGGACATCCTTGATGAGAAACCTATCGCAATTGTCAGCCGCGTAGTAAACCTATGGTCAGATTCCAGCATAAACTCACAAGTACCACCAAGCAGTCGGGATCACAGTTCCAAGGTGCCAAAGGCTATGCGCATCAATCAGCTCGTGCCAAGGGGGAAAGTCCAGCAACTCGAGGCTCATAGCCAAAATGATCCACACCACAATCATTCCGGGCCAGGCCATCCATTCCTTGCCGTATTTGCGATAACGGTGAATACTGAAGGCCACCCATAGGATGTTCTGGGCCATCCCTATCACGATGTTTGCGATCATATTGTAGGTGTAGTCCCACGACCAGAAGCTGAGGTAGCACACATGTAATGTGTAGAGCAGAGCACAGACCGTGGTCAACAGACGACGTAGAGTTGGTTTATGTCGAGGCTTCTCTTGGTCCAGACGAAAGATCCGGAGTAGTGCAAGGAAGAACCCATACATGACATTGGCCCCCGCTCCAAAATAATCCAGCTTCTCGGTCAAGGACAAGTCCCTCATGTGGAAAACCGCGCTGAAGGTCCAGCATGCCAAACCGCAGTATCCGAAGGCAATGTAATAGGGCCGCAGGGAGTGCCAAGCTGGTACCGTCTCACGAATGCGTCCAATCCCATGCCAGTGGGCAAGAAAGTTGAACAATGAGAAGAGAACGGAAAATGGTTCCTGCATCCCCAGAATTCTGCGGAAAGGCCATTTACCATGGAATTGTAATACTGGGTTCAACATGGGAGGATCACGAGCGACACGGCGGTCCGTCACGACATGTTGACAGGTATAATCGCATTCGGAAGGACATGTCCACAGCATGAGGCGAAGATGGAGAGCTGGTAGCCAATTGGTTAGTAGCCAAGCTGGCAGAAAGCAATGCTTATAAAACTCACGAATTACTTCATTGCCATCCTGGCAATTTTCAGCCTGGCAAACCTGTTCGTTGCTTAGCCATTGGCTCCCGGGTTGTGGATGCTATGAGGTTCCGGTTGATGTACCTTAACGCATTCTTTGAAGTCGGGAAGGTGGTCACCAAGAGAGGCTGTCGATTTACCAATAAGAGTGGCAATGAGAAGGAAAAGGAAGCAGCAGTAGGTACTCCTCCTTATATTTCCTATAAACATGGTGCTTTTCGTGTTTGTTGTATGGCACTCTAGTTGAGAAGGGAAGCTTCAGGAGTGAAACTCAACAGCTTAGACGCTAGACGGGCGGCGTGTAGCTCCGGCGGGGGCGGAGCGACATCGCGCACGGCAACAATGGAACAACAGCTTGGCAACGCCTTCTAAGGCATCCATTTTTCTTACACTGTACAAACTATGTAGATAGTCAGAATTAGAAGCAAGATCATTCCAAGCTCATTTGTGAACTCGACTCAAATCTACAAAGTAGGCAATCCAGCCCCACTTTCCCGGAGTTTGTCTGTTTCAGCTCCAGGCTTGGGGTGCTTGTTTCCGTTCATGCTAAAGGAATCTTACGCGGTACTACTATGAACCACCAGTAGCATGCGAAATACGGAAACCCAGTTGTGCCACCATACGAGTTTTTGTGTAATCTTCGATAATTAACTAGTCTTGGGAAGTCATTCTCTAGATATTGTACCGGTGGCCAAAAATTTCAATCATTTATGAACATCATGAGGCCAACGCCAGTTCCATATAATCGCCAACTGGCATGCTGGCTGGGATAGCCCTAGTCACAACAAAGGGCTAATGAGTCACATGACGTGTCCGACTTGGGACTAGCGCTCAATGGAATGAGCTAACCTCATCGGATTTAGCGGGAATTGCCATCGAGAGGAGAAATTCCTAACAAGGCAAAAGTTAAAAAAAAAGAGGGCCGCGCTTGAAGGGATCTTTGAGGCGCCCATATCTTTTTCTCCATAACATAGCTGTATAGCATTTTTTTTTTTTTCTTTCTTTCTTCGGTTTTACCTATTTTTCTCCTTGCACATTACTCTTTTACTGTGCCTCTGCCTCTTCTTCCTTCTGTCATATCGACTATCACCAAATCGACCGATCCGCAAATATGGCCGGAGAAGCAGACTCTGCTGCCATGACCACCAGCAGCGCTGATCGCATGGTAGGCATGGACCACGCTGAAGTGCGTTATTTCACGAGGTATGGCCAAGATAAAAAGTCTCCTTCGCATCATTTATGCTGACAAGAATCACAGTTATGATCACCATGGTAAATACTATCAATGACCTAAGTAACTTAGTCGGATGTGGCTAATCTCGGACCCCGCTCAGGCATTCATGAGGAGATGCTTGTAAGTACAAATCTACCACAACGCCTTGACTATCGCTAACCACCACTGGTTTTCTAGAAAGATGATGTTCGTACTAGATCGTACCGTGACTCTATCTACCAGAACCGTCACATCTTCAAGGACAAGGTCGTTCTCGATGTCGGTTGCGGAACTGGTATTCTCAGCATGTATGTTCAAGCCGATCGACTGGTCAACAATGGGATATCTCTAACACATTTGGTTCAAAAGGTTCGCCGCCAAGGCAGGTGCCAAGCATGTCATTGGTGTCGACATGTCGTCGATCATTGAGAAGGCTCGTGAGATTGTTGCTGTGAATGGCTTGTCGGACAAGATCACCCTGCTCCAGGGAAAGATGGAGGAGGTTGTCCTCCCTTATCCTAAGGTTGATATCATCATCTCCGAGTGGATGGGCTACTTCCTTCTCTATGAGAGCATGTTGGACACCGTTCTCTACGCCCGTGACCGTTACCTTGTTCCTGGCGGCAAGATCTTCCCCGACAAGGCCACCATGTACTTGGCCGCCATCGAGGATGGCGAGTACAAGGATGACAAGATTGGATGTAAGCACACTTCACTTGGCGCCACTATTTTCGATGAATTCGGGACGCTAACGGTTTTAAGTCTGGGACAATGTGTACGGATTCAACTACAGCCCGATGAAGGAGATTGCTCTTACCGAGCCCCTTGTCGACACTGTCGAGATGAAGGCGCTCGTTACCGACCCCTGCCCCATCATCACCCTTGATCTTTACACCGTTACTCCGGCCGACTTGGTCTTCAAGGTACCCTTTTCGCTTCCTGCCAAGCGCAGTGACTTCATCCACGCAGTGATCGCTTGGTTCGATATTGAATTCGGCGCATGCCACAAGCCCATCACCTTCTCCACCGGTCCCCATGCCAAATACACCCACTGGAAGCAGACCGTCTTCTACCTTCGCGATGTTCTGACCGTCGAAGAGGAGGAAGTTGTCTCCGGTGTTCTCGAGAACAAGCCGAACGACAAGAACAAGCGCGACCTTGACATCAGCATCTCCTACAAGTTCGAGACCACGGATCCGAACCGTTACTCCGAGGGCAGCTGCTTCTACAGGATGTGAGTACCCGTTCTTATCAAAATAACCCACCATGTGCTAACCCTCGCAGGTGCTAAATTCTTGGCCATCCCTTGTTTCTTCGGTTGCTTAGCTATTTTGCTTGGAGTCGATTTATGTTCACCAGTAACATAAAGTGGTTCTGCCCTGTGGGCAGCATAGCATTTTAACGGAAGTTCACTTGTATGGATGTCGGTCTGATGGAAGGTTATATTTTGGACTTCCTTTGATTTCAGTCATGCCATTTTTCATCATTTTTCTCGGCGTATACGGAAGGCAAGGCAACGGCATCATCAGTTGGCGCGGTACGGAGAGAAGATTTCCAAAGGACGATTATGAAGCTCCTCGAATTTCCCAAGTAGATACCCCGAGTCGACGCTCAGTCTAACACCTCCGACGTTCTGTCTATGCATTACTTAGCTTCAGGTCCATTAATCTCACGAAGTTCAACTAACCGGTTCACTACCATCGATAACTTCTATTAAAGCCCATTCATCTTGCCATTCTGATGAAAGGAAACAATTCTCTATGTACATTGAAAGGTATGGCAGTCTCGTCACTGGTAGAAAACAATCAGTAATCGGATAGGGAATGTTCTCGGCCAAATCGGCTGATTCGTGATCGAGCCTCGGTTTGGCCGGAGCCCCGCAACGGCATGGATTACACTAACTGTCCCTTCTGGGGGCCTTTCTCCGCATCAATCTATCTTCGACCTCCAGATAAAGAAGCGTCCCCCGTAGGCCCTACCATTGCCCTCAATTGCGTTTGGTGAATTTATCGCATCTTCATCGACCTTACATAATGTCAACACCAGGAGCTGGTCATGAATTCCCTCGCCAGGAGGTGTCCTGGCTCAAGCGGGACGCTCTACTTTTTGCCTACAGTATCGGCTGCAAGGCCGATGAGCTGCATTTTCTCTACGTGAGTTCCATTCTATATCTTATATCAACTATACATTTATCTTACCGAGGCTCGCACAGGAGCTCCATCCCAACTTTGCGGTCTTCCCCACGTATCCTATAATTCTTCGTATGTATAATTTCCCCGTTCAACCCTACGAAGTGAAGTATCGCGGTGTTTTAGGATTATGTTCCGAATAAGAACTCCCGGGGTTGAATAATCCTCAGCTGCATGCCACGAATGCCTCGCTAATAGCGTATTTAATACAGCATTCAAGCTCACTGATCAAGAAGTAACGGACTTCTATGCCCGTTCTGGTGGTTCCCCTATCCCTGGTGTTCCAAAGTTCGACTATCGTCGCGTGGTTGACGGCCAGCGCAAGCTCACCATCCTTAAGCCCTTGCCCCCCACGAGCGAGGGGAAGAAGTTCGAGTTGCGCAACAAGGTCATTGGAGTCTATGACAAGGGCAAGCCTGGCACTGTCATTGAAACAGAACAGACTATTGTGGATAAGGAGACAGGCGAGATCTACTCAAGAACTGTTAGCAGCGGTTTCTTCGTTGGCCAGGGTAACTGGGGTGGCCCGAAAGGTAAGGCTTCCAAAAGCACTTGTTATATCAGATATTTCTGTTATTGACGCAGTAGGTTTTAGGTCCCAGCAATGCCAACTACGCCCCACCTGAAGGCAAGCAGCCAGATGCCGTCCATGTAGTCCAAACGACTCCGGAGACAGCCCATCTCTATCGGTAAGATACCGCCCCAGCCACATAAGAGTACTAGCGTAGTGGACAAGGTGGATCCTCTTATGCTGACGATGATACCGCCGATTAGACTCAATGGAGACTACAATCCTCTACATGCTACTCCCGAGCCAGGTGAGAAGATGGGCTTCGGCGGCGCCATCGTCCATGGCCTCTTCAGCTGGAATTCCGCTGCCCATGGTGTCCTGCGAGAGCTCGGTGGTAGTGATCCGAAGAATCTTAAGGAGATTCAAGCGCGCTTTGCTTCGCCAGTTATACCTGGTGACAAGCTTATCACTGAGATCTGGAGAACGGGCAGTCTCCAAGATGGTTATGAAGAAATTCGATTCGTAACCAAGAACGGTAAGGGCAAGGCGGTCCTGAGCAACGGCCGCTGTCTGATGAAGGTTACCGGGCCAAGAAGCAAACTATGATTGGCAACTGAGGTCTAGTTAGAGAGTGTAGAGATCTGTCACCAGCTACTCTTCTATTTAATAACCAGCAACTTTTGGAATAGCCAATCATAAAATGGAGTTCATCGGCCATCTACTACGTGTACACTGGAATTAATCGAAAGATAAGATCAGAATGGCGGGCCGAGGCCTAATTGACGGCTGCACGTGACGTGGGGCTTGATATGGGGTGACATTGTGGAGATCCTTTGTTTCCCATCAATAATCCTCAGTTTTGTGTATAGTAAGATCAAAATGCACAGTGTGGCCAGACTCTCCTTCCTTAGGGCCCTTGGTCCCTTGAATCATGCAAGGTATGGCGCCCAAGGACTCTCGCACATACAGTGATGATTGACCGAGGTACTAGCACATCGCGTGCCGTGTCATCATTTACCCCGAAATATGTTAGATTGGTAAGAGGCAGATCACCAAATCCAGTGGGAGTAGCAATCTGATTGAGGGGTGCACTCTTTTCAAAGACCTACAAGTCATCATCCGTCTCAACTCGATTCCCTTCGCTAGTACGCGCGAATTCATCAGTGGCAAATGCCCGGGCCACACCCTCTAGCAGCGATAACGAGGATCCCTGGCCTCTCCACTTGAGGAACCAAAAGTGGGAGTCGTTGCAGCTCAACCATGAAGGTCAAGCCAGCAATTTGTAAGAATCCCTACTATGCAATCATTTGGACCACATGCTAATATCAGACAGTGGAACGTTTTGGCTCCGGTGGGCATTCCCAAAGCTACAGACTAGCGCATGTGCACGATCAATAATTTACTTATATTTAGGGACAACTGCCAATGTTCCAAATGCATCCATCCAGACACAAGACAACGAACTGTTGATACGTTTGCGGTGAGTCAGTAAGTTAATGTCTTGTTACGGATGGAGTTACTGATGATTATCTGATACAGATACCTGATGATATCCGTATCAAAGATCTCAGTTATGAGAAGGATGGTGTGAAGGTAGACTGTAAGCGAACATTATCCCGTCATCTTACAGTGGACGTTGACTTTGTAAAGGGTCGGACGGGCATCATGCCTATTATCCATTTCCGTGGCTCAAGAGCCATTCCAACAAGCCTGTTTCCAAGCTGGAACCGAAGTCAGAACTACATTTCAGGTACTTCAACCGTTGAGCTGCAGTGGCTACCCTTGCTGAAATGCTAATTCGACTCAGAGAGATCAAATCATACGTTCCGGGCAGAGACAGTACATTTCCAACATTTCCTTACGCAGGTATTATGGCCGACGATGGTGCTCTGCGTGACTGGCTTGAAGGAATTGTAAGCTATGACTCCATTTCCAACCAGAAAGTCTTGCTTACATTGCGAAGTACGACTGGGGATTTGCTTTTGTACAAGGAGTTCCTACCAATCCCGAATCAACCGAGGCTCTTTTAAAGAGGATTGCGTTCATCAGGAACACTCATTACGGTAAAACAACATCCTTGGCCATTCCTGTGTCGGTTCCTGACTCTTCCCCGTTTACAAGGTGGATTCTGGGATTTTACAGCCGATTTGACTTTCAAGGACACCGCATATACGACGGAATTTCTCGGAGCACATACGGACAACACCTATTTCACCGATCCTGCGAGGCTCCAGCTATTCCACCTCCTATCCCATACCAATGGAGATGGTGGCGCCAGCCTGCTGGTTGACGGTTTCCGGGCTGCTTCGATTCTTCGTGAAGAAAGCCCGGAAGACTTCGAGGTATTGATGTCGACGAACCACCCTTACCACTCGAGTGGCAATGAGGACGTATGCGTGCAACCGGCGGAGCAAGCTCCAGTTCTTAAGGTTCACCCTGAACTACAACGGCTATATCAGATTCGCTGGAACAACTATGACAGAGCCGCCAAGAAGAACTGGAACTGGGAGGAACAGGTCAAATGGTATACGGCCGCACGGCACTGGGACGAGATAATTCGTCGCAAAGACATGGAGATCTGGACACAGCTTGAACCAGGGACAGCCCTTAGTAAGTATTGCAGAGAACGATATTTGCGAACAGGACTAATTTGCCCAAGTCTTCGATAACTGGAGAATGCTTCACGGTCGCTCGGAATTCACAGGAAAGCGCAGGATGTGCGGTGGATATAGTAAGTATCCTTTACTGCTTTGAAACCCTTTTTCAGAATATTTTGCTGGCCTTCGGTTACATGCTTCTTATTATCGTATCCTTGTCCTCAAAACCGACATGCTGACACTGGACAGTAAATAATGACGACTTCATCTCACGATACCGTCTTCTCAAATTCGGTCGCGAGGAGGTCCTAAGAAACATCGGCAATGACCAATGGTCCCTGGATAACCCCAACTACTACATTTGAACCTGTTGTTCCGTGCGGGTATGTGCAGGCAGCTGATAACTGTACATTAACATCAGTTGGTTGTTCTACTGTACATATCCTAGATCCTCTGTAAATTTCAATGATTAGAAAAGCTCATTGAGCGTTGTTGGTAATGTTTACCGAAGCGGACTCGCGCAAGCTATTTGTAATTGTATCACGTGACGTAGGCAGGACAGCTGACGTTGTTTGGCCGGAGCTCAAGCATCACGACTCCAACACAGCTCAAGTTCCCCAACCCTTTCTCCCTAGGTCCATCACCTTCGACAAAACACACCCACCCCCCGATTCAGATACCCTTCCCGCTCTTATTACGATTTTTAGCCTCATACGCCCGCACTCTAGTTCTCCACCATGTCGACCTTGGAAGACCTCGACGACCTTGAGCGTGAGCAGAGAGACAAGAAGAAGGACCAGGGAGATGACGGCGAAGGCAGGAAGCCCGAAGGTGAAGGAGATGCTGAGATGAAAGATGCCGATGCCAAGAAAGATGAGGATGATGGACTCTTGGACGAAGAGATCCTTAGCTCGAGCACAGCGGACATCGTCAAGCGACGGCGGATGCTGGAGAACGAGCTGCGTATAATGAAGAGTGAATACCAGCGCCTGACCCACGAGCAAAACACGATGCGAGAGAAAGTCAAAGATAACCAAGAAAAGATCGAGAACAACAGGTAAGCTCTGAGTCCTGTTGATTTCGATTTCACTGGCGTCTGTTCGACGCGGTGGCAATTGCGGCGCAATTCGGGTCATTTACTGACTGCTTCTCTTGATAGGCAATTACCCTACCTGGTCGGAAACGTCGTCGAGCTTTTGGATTTGGATGTTGAAGCTGAGGCTGCCGAGGAGGGGGCGAACATTGACCTTGATGCTACACGGGTGGGCAAGTCGGCTGTCATCAAGACGTCGACCCGCCAGACTATCTATCTCCCTCTCATTGGTCTAGTAGATCACGAGAAGTTGAAGCCTGGTGATCTCATTGGTGTCAACAAGGATTCATACCTCGTCCTGGATACGCTACCTGCCGAGTACGATAACCGTGTTAAGGCCATGGAGGTCGATGAGAAGCCGACGGAGAAGTACACCGACATTGGTGGCTTGGATAAGCAAATCGAGGAGATTGTGGAGGCTATCGTGTGGCCTATGAAGGAGGCTGACAGGTTTAAGAAGCTTGGCATCAAGGCACCGAAAGGTATGTAATCCTTGGTTTCTCCAGCCTAGCACGGGCTATCTGACACACTTCACAGGTGCTCTGATGTATGGACCTCCCGGTACTGGTAAAACACTTCTTGCTCGAGCCTGTGCAGCAGAGACGAACGCCACATTCCTCAAGCTCGCCGGTCCGCAGTTGGTGCAGATGTTCATCGGTGATGGTGCGAAACTTGTTCGTGACTGCTTCGCCCTTGCCAAGGAGAAGGCACCTTCCATTATCTTCATCGACGAGCTGGATGCGGTCGGTACGAAGCGTTTCGACTCCGAGAAGTCCGGTGACCGTGAAGTGCAGCGAACCATGCTTGAACTGCTCAATCAGCTCGACGGATTTGCCTCGGATGATCGCATCAAGGTCCTCGCAGCCACGAACCGTGTCGACGTTCTCGATCCCGCCCTGCTCCGTTCCGGTCGTCTGGACCGCAAGATCGAGTTCCCGCTACCCAACGAGGAGGCGAGAGCCAACATCCTGCAGATCCACTCCCGCAAAATGGCTGTGGATGACCGGGTCAACTGGGCGGAACTGGCCCGCAGTACCGATGAGTTTGGCGGTGCTCAGCTGAAGGCTGTGTGCGTGGAGGCGGGTATGATCGCTCTCCGGAAGGGCATGAGCAAAGTAGGACACGAGAACTACGTGGATGCCATTTCGGAAGTACAGGCGAAGAAGAAGGACACGAACATGGGTATCTATGTCTAATTCGGTCATCGTCACGATTATCTACATGATCTCCGGGTCGTCATTATGCTATGTATCTACTCCTACTGCAGCTTAGAGGATGCTATTAAATATGTCTCCCTTGGCTGAAGATGCTATTACCTCTTTCATTTTCTCGTAATTATGCCGCATAATCAAACCGTATTCAAAGCTAAGCGAAGTAGCCTCTTAGATGATTAAAGATCGCATTAGGGACTTTAAGGCACCCGTCTATAGAATCCATGCTAAAGCAGGTCAGGTGATGCACCCGCCATGCATCTCAACCGCAAGTTTCCTACACGCTCATCATCTCACCACCCTAGCCCTCCTCATATCTGAAAGATGCGTGTTTCCACATTTCACCACACCGCTTAAAAAGCCAGCATCTTTTGCACGTGCTAACACTCTTACCACTTTGTCCGGGTACAAGCCGTTTCCTGAAGTGAGAAGAGGAAGGGCCAATAAAAGCGGACGATGACAGCCACCAGAAACCGATCGGTCTGAGAACCTACTTACTGACAAGCCAGTTCAACTAAGAATGAAATGATCAGCAAACGTACATGCAGTTTTTCTACTCTACTGATCCCGCCATAGCAGAGCCTAGGCCCACTTCTAGAACCAGACTGCAGAGCCCGTATTCTTGTCGATCTATGAAGTGATACAAAGTCCGAAGATCATTACTAACGTAGAGTATGTGAGGTGAGGAACTCCACTATTCTTCGTTATATCGGGCTTATGGCTGATTGAAAGCTTAAGGGATCTGCATGGCTGTTTAGAGCCGATGTCATGGTGCCATACCCGGATGTCCATTCAAACGGCCCACTGTGTCTGTGTACTATAACTGATGAGTAACGCCACTAAAGTTGCAGCCGGCGACCGAATTTGCTCAATGATATCATCTCCCTGGAAATGTTGATAGGTGGAATGGGCGCAATACTTGGTGTGACTTGTGACTGGTGTTCTCAAGTTAATAAGTATCTTACACTTCTGCGATTCTGGATCTAGGTGGCGTCGCGAAACCGGATGACCAGTTCAGCCGTCTCCTAAAGGTAATGCAGAGAGCGATGGTGAGCTCTGCCTTGCTGTGCAAGAGAGCCACACGATGACGACAGTAGACCGTCGCACAATCCTTGACCGGCGAGATAGCCAGTAGAAAGCAGCAGCACACAGACCAGGTCAGGCCTAGTGCCCGAGCATACATTGCTCGGAGAATATGGCCGTCAGTTACTGCGTTCTGTGGCTTGAAGTCCTTGATCTGGTGGGTTAGAGTTTACTGTGCCTTTAATATTTGACATGATTGAGCAGGACTGGACAAGTGCAACCTCCACGGGGAACTGGATTACCCCTGAGAAGTGCCTGCTCCTCCGACTTTGTGGGTGAGGGCTGCTTGCTCAGTTCGCTGAGGATGGAGAGGTATGATTTGTGTCTAGCCAGGTCAACTCTCATAGGCCGTTCCGCGAGCTACCAACCCTGTCAATTCCCAGAGCTGTAAAGCTGCTCGCGTGACGTATGCTGACTACATTCAAACGCCTCTGTCATTGTGATTTCTCGTTTCTTATCTCACGCCGTTTCCAAACCGTTTGCTCTGAGCCTTCTGGACTCGTCAGCTCGCTCTGACCGCATCGATGAAGCTTCTGAGGACGGGTTGTTCCGGATAATCACAGGATTCACTGTCTTTTTGTGGCTGAAGGCTCCCTACAGTGCGGGGTGGTATTCGACCACCGGGTCCGGAGCACCAGCGCCTCTCTTCTCATCCAACGGCGAAAAGCTTAAGGAGAGATAGATCACACTAGTCAACGTTTCAGCATTTTCCAGCTTTCTTCACAATCCCTCGTTCTGCTGGCTATCCATCTGCTGTTTAATACAATACATTTAGAACGCGGCGATCCATATCTACGGTAAGTCCGCCATGAATCCCATGTATCATTATACGTATTGCGAGGTCCTACGGCTGATCACGGAGCTGGCAGGCCTACTTGAGCCATCCAAGATACATATGGCGGCTTGAGCGGATAAAGAGAAAGTGCTAGAGGTAGAAAGAGCAGGAAGCGGTCTATACGAGAAATCTGGTAGGCTATGTCTCACATTCTGTGTTTCCAGTCTCTAGCAGTAAGCAGCACTTAATGGTTTACTCGTCAATCTTTCATTCCTTTTTCCCGGGTCAACACGGATCGACCCAAAGCTTCAAGCTCAATATACTGGACATGGATAGCCTGTCATGGAGGCTTGGCTCCCGCAGTCCTCGCTTGGACCAAACTCCCCTTCCCCTTCATCGATGCATCGTCTCTATCACACTATGCTCGCTCTAGAGCTCTATGATATGACTTGACTAATCCCCCTTCGCTGGCTGACAAAATTTCATAGAGCATCGTACCTCACCATACCGACGCTGCTGATATGATGGTTGCATGGCTGGTAGCGGTCCGAATCTGATGATAGCCCGGATACTCATCGGTTCACTCAGTCCCGGAGCGGACATCGCTTACCAGCCATTGAGCGTTCGACTAAGACTTAGTGTAACATATGCCGTGCCTTAACTGCAAAGTTCAATAACACCGGTTAGCCCAACAACTCAGATCGGACGATCTATTTCATCGGAGCGGTCTCGGCTACTGCTGCTGCCCGGGTTTGCATGAGAAACAGGGCCAGTTGTGTTGGAGCGTTGAACCTTCAGAGGCCAACATGTCCGCTATCGTCTTTACGATGACGAAGGTTATGTTAAGCGAAGCGCAGTCACAGACCCTATTGATGCCAACACATCACTTCACGATCGCTGTGCATGCATTCGGGCTTGAGGGATGTGGTGGCCGGGGTGACTTTTGGGGGTGGGGGGGTTGCGGCGTCGGAGGCGCACTCTCAAATGTGCCATTTTGCTTCCATCATGAGTGATCATCTAGTATAAGTATAGAGTAGTCTGCGGCAATGCAAAGCTGCAAGACAATCATTGTCATAATACACAAGTCCTCTACCTCATTTTCAGTTTCCTTCAACTCAACCACTCTAGTTTATTATCTTACTTGACCTGAGATTCTTTCTCCTGTCAAGATGAGCCACCCCCAGCGCACCACCACCACTGCCATTGCTACTGCCACCTCCGCCGACCCCCTACCAAATCCCTCAATGACCTCGACATCCGATGGTGCTTCACACAAAGTTCTGCAGGAGCTGTTCGGCGTATTAAGACGCTATGAGGATTTCAAATCCGCAAAGGTCTTAGTCGTCGGAAAGGCGTGCATTAGCCACCATCTCAAAGACAGGTCACTGGAAGTATGAAAACCTTCTCCATTCGGTTACCCATCTCTGTCATCCCTAGCTATCTGATTGAAAAGCTTTCTCACTGTGGTGTAATAGAAAATCGAAATACTCGTCAACACAAAACTTCCGCCAGTCACGCTCCGGGGAGACCTCATATTCGACCAATCCGGATACTTTTCAATGTCGAATATGTCGAATGCTGGCGGCTGCTCTTTCTATATGAAAGTGGGAGATTCCAATCTCATCCCTTGCACCTTGGACACTGTATCCCCACGGCAGCTGTCGCCCACGGCTAGGGACCTCAAACTTCAAATTTGCTACCAGGCTTTTGGGAAAGTACACCAGCTGCAATATGTTCCGCGAGAGGCGATTCCCTTTGCTGACCTCCCCTCCGTCATTTTGATGGAGGTCTTGTTGCCTTCAGAGACTAAAACAATCATCAAATCCTCCCAGGTGTGGAACTTAGCCAAAAGGCTTGATCCACAGTTTAGGTGGGAGGGTGGGCAGAGGAACGCTCTGGAGGCGAAGCTGACAAGGCTCATAGATCTGGGATGGAACTATGAGAAGAGGACGCGTGAAGAGTGGCGTGCGGCCCTCCATCTCCATGTTGATGAGCTGGCAGACGGGGTGGAAGATGAGTCCACGGACGGAGAGGATGAGCTGGCAGACGGGATGGGAGATGAGTCCATGGACGGAGAGGATGATCTGGCAGACGGGGTGGAAGATGAGCCCCTTGAGAACAGTCCTAATCCTTTGTCTTCCAACCTCCCTATGCCATATGTCATGCCCTGGCGTTCTTGGTGTGTTGGCGTTGGTGTAATGGCGTTCATCATTGTTCTCTATTTTCTTTTCCTTCGGGAAACCCAGACTCCTGAGAAAAGGCACAATACATGGACGAAATGGGTGTTCATCATTATGACACACTTTTTGCTATGATGGCTAGCATACCAGCTTTTATTTGCATCAGAAATGTCACTCCTTGGTATACACGTTTGTTTGCGACAAGGGAGCTTTCGCTGCTGTAGATAAAAGAAGTTCCGTTGCGATGTAGAGATCAGTCGGTTCCTCTGATACCTCTAGCAAGATGTAGAGGATGGACTCTATCTTGGTCTACATTGAACGTGGTTGTAGTAAGGACGTCTTCATGCGGAAAGTCCAGCCAGTCTGTGGATCGAGGTCGAGACCAGATAGTGGAGGTCTCCGGTTTTCAGGTGGGGATGTGGTCTCCACGGGGGAAAATATGCTCAAGTGTTTCACTTATAGGAAGGCCATGTGCCATGGCATGGCCTAGTCTAGTGGTAAGTTCAAGAGGGGTTAACGGAGTAGGCGGGATTTAGTCCTAAATCATAGTTAACTAACTAGACAGTAGGCTCAGGATGAGTAATACAAAGGTGGATGCTTATCATGTGGACCCCTCGTGGTATTTGCCGATCCATACCCATCGATAGATGGATGCATTTGGCCCAGGTGGATCGGATAATGAGGAAGGAAGATTAATTAGTACCAGACAAATAATAGTACAATGTAAATAAGCAGTAGTATCTCAATCTTTGCAGGTGACAATTGAAAAGTGGTACTTAGCCAGTAGCGATGATTGGTTGGCCGATCTCGGGCCCGAGCAATTCTGAGTCCGCTAAGCCTCTTGCAGTGTTGGAGACAGGGAGAAGCTTGCCCGACCAGGTATCAGGTCCGAAATCCACAGAAAGCTGAACGTCGTATGATGACATCTACGAGTGCGTATCGTTCGCCGTCTCATCACCCATTAGAGGTAGTTGAATTTGCTGTGTGCAGCTAAAAGGTCCACTTCCACAATATGAGAAGTAATATCCCCAAGGAGCGTCAAAATATAGAGTGCCCGTGTGGCCTGCCCACACTTTGATAGCAACAACGGTGGGAAGATCAGATATCTTCTGTGATAGTGTCTGTTACTCTTGGATGTTTGGCCGGAAGAGTACTGCCGAGCCCTACCTCAGTCGGACAGGGGAGAAGGGCGTTTACCCCGTACAGACGAGACGGTGGTTCCAAGGGGCTCAGTACTAGCATCTTCTGAGTAGGTATCATCGGTGGGGCTGGCACAGTAGTAGATACTGAGCTTCGGGACTTCCGAAGATGGCTTCCAGCACCGAAGGATGCTCACCATACGTACACAAGCTTTCCGAATCAGGAAACCGTTCTTCTGTTGAGGCATATCAGCATATATGCAGGCCACCCTCCCTGGGTAGCTGAAGTGAAAGGCAGCTAAGAGCGTGCTGTTTTGTAATGCAGGTGTCTCCACACCAAAGGAGAGACATGAAAGGAAGATATTATGAGAGCTTTACGACGCCTTGGGTGCCCTTGTTGGCGGCCACAGAGGCTGACAGAGCCGCCAGCATGCTATCGTACTTCAGGTGCACTTTTCATCCAGCAGGGCTGAACGTTTGAAGTCAGTGGAGACTAAGACATGACGCTCGTCTAGTTGTTGAGTACGAGTACTGACTTGACTAGACTACTGCTTTTATTCCCGTGGTAGACTGTCAAAAAGTAGATGGACGAGACGGAATTGGCAGAGCGAACATTGCCACCTGACAGTGGAGTCAACAGTCAGCAAACGGGGCTTAACTGTGATGACTCTCCGTCAGTCAAGTGGAAATACTCAACAAGGGGTGACTAACATAGTGTGAGTGTGTGCAAGTGGTGGGGATAGACTAGTTCGTTGGTGGTTCCCAGAGTCAGATAACGGGTGGCCCAGTGCACACCGGGCATGACCGTCGACACTCCCCACCTCGCTTAGGCTCTCAAACCGTAGAGAGTAGATCTAGACTAGATAGATCTGATGGCCTATCTCCTAGTCAGCCCCACCGTACGAGATCTGCGTGGGAGGCCTTTTCTAATACACACTCTTCTGGATGGGTGCCTTTTGCCACCCCCCTCGGACTGCCGAGGCCATTGGAAAAAGGTCCATGGACTTACTGTGTACACCGCAACCACTTACTAAGGGCTGGTTTTGCTAGCCAGCCAAGTTGGCTGTAAGCTACTATGGAAATTATCCTGTTAGACGGCTGAACTGTGCCGTGGCATCGCCTGTCAGCTAGTTGGCTAAGTGAACAGCCTATGGTTAATAAGCACTTGGTAACCAAGGTGGCAAGTGATGCTTTTACCAGATTAAGTTCAGATGAACACAACTAGACTTAATGAGGCAAGGAGCGGTGTCTTATCCTTCGGACACCTTCGGCCGGGGCGTTAATCTGGTCAGCGGTGGGTTCTTTACTATAATCGATTGAACTGGGCTAGTTTGGCTGTCCACATCTCCGTATTATCTTCCCAAAGATTGATGCGTGCTGCGGCGTTCGCGATGGAATGAATTATCACTCCAACGCTTATTTTTCCGGCGAATCATGCGGTCGAACGCCCTAGTTCCGACTCAGTACATAACATCGTTGATGATGCCTGATGCATGACCGGAATTACCAAAAACGCTCCAGAATATGCCCGTCAAAGAATATTCGCGCAACTTTGCGGATTTCAGAGTACGACGGCTTTGGCCGTCGGAAAGGCCGTCATCAAGTATTGAAGACCCATATTATTCCGTTTTGAGGCACTAGTATGGCCACTGTCTGCTCGCACCCTTAGACGAGAAGTATTTCGCTTTTTACTAAGTTGGGAAATGTGCACGATTCCAATACAACGCGCGGGCCAGGATGTGGCTCCTAATCTGTCCCATATAATCCGGTACCCTCAACGGGGAAGGATGAAGGAAGAGTAAAAGATTTCATCATGCCATTTAGATATTTCTTTCAGGGTATCGAACCTAGAAAATCTGCTCGACCCCGGGCTTAACCTTGTAATTGGTATTTTCATGCTCACCCAATTGTTGTCGGTAAACTAGGACCAGCTGGATCCACGTAATCTGATGCTGGTAATGATAGGTCAAGGCCTCCAATGTCCCACGTGGACCAAGGCTCCAAGAGGCTAAACGTGGAGTCCGGGTTTGTATCGGTCTCCCGTCCTGGCACGGGAAATGTGCTGAAATTCGGGAGTAGATCAGCTCCGGACATCGGCTCTTCAGCAAGCGTAACTGGGTGGGCTAATTCGTCGGATTGGTGGTAATCCAGCACTTCTGCATATCTGCATGCTCTGTGTTAGAAGATAGTACGCGTAGAGTAAAGTCACCAGGGAGACGTGCATCATAAGCTTGAGGGTCTCCTTGGAGAGTCGGGCGCCGTCGAACGACCAATCGAATGGTCTCTCAACGCCGGGTTCATCAGTGGGATCATGATATATTTGCAAATAGCGGTGCTCCAGAGCACTGCTGGCCGAGATCCTGGCGTGTGGGTCGAAGACCAAGAACTTGTCGAGGAGGTCCACGGCTGTACAGCAAGTTTCGGTAAGTAGGCAGTACATCATCCATGCCATGTCTGAACAGAACATCACATACCGGCTTCATCGACGCTCGAGAACATTGTCTTTAGACAGCGTGGCTGTCTATTCCCAAGTGACTTGACTATCTGTACCGTCTATCATGCAGGTGAGCATGGGACGGTTATAATGGTGATTTCTCGAAACGTACATTCTTACTGCAGATTCGATCGATGACCTCATCAGGAGGGTTGCCCAAGAGGTCTATAATCAAGTAGAATTGATTGATATGATCCTTCCCGGGAAACAAGGGCTTTCCAGAGAGCATCTCGGCGAGAATGCACCCAGTACTCCAGAGGTCTACCTCCACGCCGTATCTCTGCCATGTCAGCATGATTTCCGGTGCTCGATAATAGCGTGTAGACACATAGCCGGTCATCTGATGTTCCTTCACTCGTGCGAGCCCAAAATCGCATATTTTCAGGTCGCAATTCTCGTTAACCAGAATATTGCTAGGCTTGAGGTCCCGATGGATAACGCCGGCGGAGTGGATGTACTTCAGACCACGCTATGGAGGCTAAGTCAGTCATTTCTGGGAATTGGTACCCTGTTGGGGTTACCACTCCGCTGACTTACCAAGATCTGGTAGGTAAAGTATTGGACAAACTGGGGTTCCAGGGGTTTAGATCTCATCAACCGATTCAAATCCGTCGCAAGGAGTTCAGTCACTAAATATCTGAGAGGTAGATGTCAGTGCCAGTGCGATGGCATGGAGGGTTTGTGGGCACTTACATGTCCTCCAGTGGGGAGACAAAAATGTCACAAAGACCGATGAGCTGCAGATGGTCAGAATGAAGAAGACGTCTTGACTGTAGATGGATTGGGCCTGCCATACATTCTCGTGTCGAAAATGCTTCAAGAGTTTCACCTCTCGGAAGGTACGCTTTGCCACTGTGGCAGTCTCGAACGGCTTGATGACTTTTTTGATGGCGACTGCCTGTCCCGTAATCTGATCATGTGCCGAGCTGGATTAAAATGTCAGTCATACCCTCACTCACCCTCACTCACTCACAATCTCCCGCTCCCTCCCCAGTAGAAAACAAGAAAAAACAGGGCAGAGGCTACCAAACAAGGCCATACACCCCCAAGCCAATGGGTTGCAAGTTTCCATATCTACCCAACAGAGTTACGGTCAAGGTCAGACTTATTCCTTAGCGTCAAGTTACTGCTAGCTGAACCTACCGCTTTGTAGACTCGAATACCGTGCCTAGAAACTCGGAGCGGTTGAAGCCTTCCATGTTATGTTATCCGGATAGTGTTCTGGGTTCTGAGACAGAGAAAGAAGAGCAGATGAGCGTTTATGATCATGACCTGCAGTAGAACAATCATTATGCAGATTTATAAAGCCACGGCCTGCCGTCTTCAGTTCGGGTCAAGGCCCCAAATTGACAGAACCACCGAGCTTGAAGTCGTCCCCACCCTCCATCTCCGTGATAGGAGCCAGGCACCCGGCCCCATGAGGGGAGAGACGGGGGGGGCAACCAGAGGCATGGAGCAAATCAAGGAAATTGGATCCTTGGGACACGACGTTCCCTGTTTTAGCTGTTTTTTCTCCTGACTGTCGTATGTACAGACGTGCTTTTGGCGCATAAGCGTCTTTGGCTACAGCTGGTGCTCCATGGTTGAGAGGGTGGGTCGACGGGCGAGACGGAGTCAGCCGTCTAAATTCAACTGCTGTCTCTGTTACCGGAAGCATTACCCGGCAGCCGCGCGAAAGATTGTCTTTTCTGTCTACTTAGTGACTGTGTGACTGTACACGTGGTGATGGAGCCGTCTTTGTCTCTCCAAGTCTGCTATGGATTGGTATGAACCCTGTGTCTGGCCCGTTCGAAAAGAGCACTGGGCGCCAACCACCTTTAGCACCCACCCAAACGAGTAATCACCACGGACCATCCCTTGCCCAATTCTGATTACAATCTCTATCTTTGTCCAATCTTCAAGTCCATCAGAACATCTGATCTAGGGCAGTCCTATATCCACGGTCAGTGTGTCAGATCTCGGTCAGCAGCCCGCTCGAGCAACGCGATAGGCAGAGAGTCCCTAGTCAATCTACTTAACTTATTGTCTGAACCTCCAACAGCATCTGATCGGAATCTGTCTTCCGCGTTTGCCACCCTGCCACGTAAACTTAATCGCCTGTGGCAATGGCCCGTGGAAACTCCAGGATACTAGCAGTAGTTTCCTAGCAAGGATCATCAATGGTAAGCCCAGAAGATAAGCAAGCAGAACAGAGTTGTATTCTGGTAACTTAGTCCAGTCTTTGTTAGCGGTATTTGAGTGCTTCCGGTTTGTTCGTGGGTTGCTTTTTGCAGGGGTTAGCATAGTGTGTGCTGTGGGGAGACGGCAGGGGATAGGAGTAGGGTTTGATTAACAACAAGGGCTGGTTCAGTACTTCCTAATCACTTGTTACGACAATATCAGGCACAGAAAGAGTTTGGTGAAGAGACTCCAAGGTGAGGAGCGAACAAGGAGCACACCTTCCCTTGGCCTACTTTTGTTATGGTCTTGATACGTGCAGAGATGACAGGGAGTGTGAGAGAACTGCCGACTATTTCCAAGCAGGCTCTGAGCCATTCCATGCAAGAGTACACGGTAATTCAGAGTTAAGCCAATGTTAATCACGATGTCGTCCATTTCTAGGAATACTAAGGAATACGACAACCCCGAAGGCCATGATAGACCCTAGTAACGCCTGCCATGTTCACCAGGCCCCAAGTGCGGATATATTTTCCAGTCCTCACCAGTAATATCATGCCAGAGTTGCTTGTTTGAATACATACATCTTCTAGATTAGATATAATAGATTCTGGTGTATTGGCCGCTTGTTTGGCGGATTTAGTGAGCAGGTATCTTCGTAACATCACGTCAAGGCAGGGCCAGAATGTCTGTGGTGTCGCGCAGCTATGTGTTCAGTACAAAGTAGTATCTCTGACCGGGAAAGCGCTACAGCTGAAGTGATATAGTAGTGCATACAACATCCATTCGTTATTTAGCATATGCCATTCGATTCTCTAATTGTCTCATCCTTTTTTTTCTTCTGACTTTCCACTAAGAAGCTGGGAAAGTGGGTTTCATTACTTTCTCTTCAGGGACAAACCAGGAAAAGGAAGTGTACTCCTTACTAAGGATAGACGCAAAGGGAAGGGCAGGCATCTGGATCACTAAGTTCTAGAAAAAAACCTGGTAAGTAATCATGCTCTATATTAAAATGATACATTTGATTTCTGAAGCCTAAGCTCACCCCATCTAGCCCCTCTGTTCGATAAGCTCTCGATGGAACCATCTTCTGGTGGGAAGAGCGGAAAGGAGGAAGGTATCGTGGGTAAGTGAAAGATCGACTCTGGAATTTAACTGGACATGATCTCATCAATCCATTCTTGCATTAACCACACATTTCTGTTCTCCTTGACATTCTTCTTATACCTTTCGATATTGAACGGGCAAATGGGGTCTGGCATAGAACCAGCTTCCTGCCATTCTTTCCACAACCTGTCCATCAACAAGTGCTTGTAGTCCAATTCGCTACGCCAGTCCGCTTCCTCTATATATAAGGTGCGAAAAGGTTGTTGAATGAGGTCAATATGAAAAAGTTCCGGAGGAAGTAGTCTTGCAAGTCGTTCATGGAACTCCACAACATAATGGTACCAGGGTTCGTCAAAGTGTTGATCTACACTCAAATCTCTGATATGCAGGCTAAACAATGACTCTATCCAACGCGCCGGAGTGAGCAGCTTTATGGGATAGAAGGAGTTGCCGAAACCATCCATATCCCAATCAGGAAGACGGCGGTCTGTAGAGAGAATGAAATTAGGGTCATTGGGCTCCGGAAATTCAAGGGGAAGATCGGGCATGAGCCAGAGCCACTGGGACTTCCGAAGCAAACCGACAGAGTAGCACCTGGTTACTTTCTCGTCGAATCCTCCCTTAACATAGCGATGGAAGTGTTTGGCAGGCCACGGGAACGGATAAGGGTATTCAATTGGGATTTTAGCCCAGCAGCAACCAATGTCACCAGCAGTACAAGGATCCTCGGATAAACCAGCAACTCGCAACGCTCGTATAGTGGCATCCAGACGATCGTCTGGAACCACGAAGCAAATATCACATGCCTATTGTCGATCAGTTAGCCTTGTTCAATTTCTTTCTCAGTCTATTATATGGTTGGTTTGCCTTACAGTCGCAATGCCCTCATTATGGTAATGCAAGTTCATTAAATCTCCGCAGGCCACGTAGGGAATCTTAGCATGATCCAATAACTTGGCTATCTGAGATCCAAATTCGAGCTGTCGCCCACCGAGGTGCTTAGGGGGCGGGAACCGTGATTTCCAACCCATCTTGAATATGCGACAAGGGTGGTGTAGTGGTGTTGAAGAGTAACTATCCCAATCAGTATCAGACGCTGGTCTTTTCGGGTTGTAGTTCGTTCACTCGCTGCTGGATGTCATGACCTCTTGCGTCTATTTATGAATGGGGATGGTGGTGGATTTATGTCCCAGCGTGTCTAAAGCTAGTTATCCAAATTCATGGAGCTTACATCAAGTGTACATGGACTTTCCGAGTTCCTTCTGCTTGTTTCATTCCATTTGGCTTGATGGAAACTCTTCCTATGTTGAAAAGCCATTGCCTCAACTTGTGCCTTGGATGGTAGGTGCAGCAGTCGCACCCAAGATGTCGGGGGATCCCTACTGATCTACTGCTGTGCAGACGTGAATGACCATCAGCAGTACCTGCTCTCAGATCAGCAGCACATGAAAGCAATAGCATAAAGTATGCACAAGCCTTTATCATGTGTCTTAGTAGATATGCAGTGGGTGTTCCCAGCCATCAATGTGTAATTGTGAGAACAAGTCACGGCCCTGTCTTTACATATTCGTATAGTAGACGCACACTCCCTCTTTACCTCGCCCTTGATTCACTTCTCATGGCAGCCCAGACGGAAATAGAAGAAGGGAAAGCATTATAACCATCTGGAGATTACAACATGTGCCACTCTCATTATCTCACGAAATAAGTTATTCGAACTGTGAGTACATGAATCAAGCTAAGCTCTTGCTGTTTGTGTGCATCCAAGACTGGACGTCCGCATGACCAAAGACATACAACGGCTCTAAAACAAGGTTTCTGAATATTCATGCCGCGAATGTCCGTAAGAATGTCAAAAGTATTAAGAAAAGCATATTGGATAGCGGCTTTAGACCGTCATCAAGTCAGGGGTGGCTGGATTATCTGTGAGGTAAGTAGTTGGGAGAACATGCAATAATCGAGAAGGTTTGAGGGGCTTGGACTAAATAAAAGGGATGCGTAAGAAACTTCCGAATTTAAAGAAGAAACAAAAACAATAAACAAATAAAAGATAATGAGGTCTGACCCAGAAAGAAGATTACGTTGAAGTGGATGATGGTGCGAGATCGATCCGTGTCCGAAAAGAACGGGAAAAAAAGAATGGGGCAAGCCGGGCTTGAACCGGCCACCTTCAGATTTACAGAGACATCCTTTCGGACGAAGCCTGTGGGCCGAAGTTAAAGCTTCAGTCTGACGCGCTCCCAGATGCGCCATTGCCCCGATTATGTGAAAGGTGATACATTTTAACTACTCTTGTAGGCCCTTTTGCAAATGTCAAAGTATACATTATGCAGCGAATCTGACCGCAGAGTGTAGAATTTTCGCACTATATGTTACTTTTTCTTGTTTTTTCAATTCTGTGATTACTTTCAGCATACTATAGTGGTGTTATTTATGGGTAATTGCGAATTGGAGTTGGCTGGCACGGCTGTATACTGAGGCATTTACTAACATATTATCATTAGGCGCCGTCAACCGTCTGCTACTAATGGTACTTGCACCGAGATGGATATGATGACATTGACATGCATCTAACTGTTGAACTTGACTAAAATGTATCTTTTTTCAGTTTACTGTATTGCAACTGACGCAGATATGCCCGGTACGCAAACGCCTAAACTGCTCCTTCCCTGCCCAGTCTTTCAGAAGCCACGGAGTTCCTTAAGAACATCCCAACTGAAACAATCAGGCGCTACAACATGTTAAACAAAACCACGTACTGTCCATCACTTCACTTCATGGTATATCTGTCTTGTCTACCATGCCTCCAAAACAAGTACTCAACTGCTTCTTACTTTCTGCATCCACCTCAGCCTCAAGAAGTTCCCAAACCGGCGAAATCCGCTCTGCAATATCACCCCACCCACGCGACTGCTTCGATACTTGTCCTTCCCAGACATACTCCAAGGTAAAATATTCCTCACAAATTGAGTTTGAACCTTGTCTTTAAATAAATAATGCTGTAACCTTCACAGGAAATGAATCTTCCATCACCAGCATACAGCCAACCCACCAACTAACGAATTACATAATCGACCAGAAACTCTCATGAACATTTACTAACCATATACAGCTAGCGCAATCTACAGCAACCCCACAATATCGCCTTCACCCACAATATGCAAATTATCCACATTTAAAAATCATAGAGGAACAGCAAAATAAAACAAAATAAAAAAGGATGGGGCAAGCCGGGCTTGAACCGGCCACCTCCAGATCTTCAGTCTGACGCGCTCCCAGATGCGCCATTGCCCCTTGATTAGTGAGCATTGGCTAGGGTTTTGACAATATGAGGGAGGGGTCATGGTTAGAGATATTTACAGCCGGCATATAGAACAGATCGATCGATCGACTCACGCCCTGTGACTCGATGAGGTATTGATATGTCCTGGACTTGGTTAGTATGGATAGCACAATAGAACGTCTCATTCCTGCATGATGATGGACTCACTCCGTTTTCCATGTTTCCCGATACCATTCTAATATGAACTTGCCTGCGCCAAGAGATAGACAAAGAGAAAAGTTATTGACCAAAACCAGACAAGGACAAGTACTAAGTAGAACATTGTTCATTCTATCTCTTTTCAATCCTCATTGTTCCATTATCCGACAGGGAAAAGTCAATGGACTTCCCTTCCTACCCACCTAACCCTTCATTAACCACTAACCATTCTAGGTACCCCTAGAAAAGACCAACACCCTACTCTAGAGTCCATCCCGAATGCTTTAGAATAGTTTTGATTTCTTCTCTACATTATGTCTAGCTTCATATAGCACTCTTTCGTTGCCAATGTATCAACCAATGGGGCAATGGCGCATCTGGGAGCGCGTCAGACTGAAGATCTGGAGGTGGCCGGTTCAAGCCCGGCTTGCCCCATTCCTCTTTTTTACTTTTTATTTCTTCTTTGTTCTTCTTCAATCGTTACCCTTCTTCGCCTTTCCACTTTGTTTCATTCTTTTTCGTTTTGTGTATGTATCATTCTTTTATTTACGGAGTAACATTGAAATGGTAGATTGTGCGTCATTCAGTCTTACTTCCATCCTTTGCAGGTTCGTGATGAAGTGACCTTGTAGAGTGAGATGAAGGGGGGCATTTTTACTGTTTCTTACATATATATAAACCACTTGTTGTGAAGATATTAAATCCCTGGGTATATATTACTTATCTCGTACTATCTACTTAATGTGAAGTATGTTCTTGTTGGATGTCCATAGTTATGCATTACGCACTAGGTATATATACTGATCAGTCTGATCGTAAGTACTGTAAATATACAGAAAAAACGAGATGTGAAATCGACAAATGCCACCCCAGATGATAAGCTGTACAAAAGAAGACACATGGATATACGAAATAAACAAGAGCTGCAGCATTATGTAAGATGCGTTGCTCACGCCGGTGCCAAACACTATTAGACGGAGATGACCCAGATGATAGCAATTCATGCGGTAAGCTAACCACCAAGACGAGAGAGAGAGAGATGCCAATTAAGGAGATAGAGATGGGAATAACCCCTGCTGCACCGGGTATGTCGAGGCCAGAAAATGTCCAGAGAAATAAAAAGTCAAAGAATATCCACAATTGATGAGATCGTCCATCCATCCGTCAATCCGTAAACGCCGTTTCTGCGTGTATACCAACAGACAGCATGTACCATAGCATGCCATTCTTGAGAAAAATAAAAGTACCAATGAAAGGTAAAATCAAATGCACGTCACCGGTGATGTACATCAACCTGACTAGAATAGTCGCTTAACGTCAACTATTTCGACGTTTCCTGGGCGGTCTCGTTCCATGTGGAACCACCAGTCCCTTCCACTTTTGTGGCTATAATTCCATGATCCGGTGCAGGTATCTCGGTCCCAAGGGAGTGCCGTCGTAGACGAAAGACTCATCGGCGTCGCTGGTGTTGTAGGGGTGTTTGGACTGGTGCCCAGCGCGGACCGACTGCCGATGCTGCCCCATCCAAAACGTGAGGTTGTAGTTGAGGTCGGCGATGGCGGCTCTTCGGGCGCCGGTTTCGCGTGGCCCTTGCCGCCAAAGCAATTTACTCCAACTCCAGCAGCATATGTGAGGGACTGGCTGGAGGCCAGCACATGTTTCCAATCAACTAAACCTCCATCACCATCCTGCCCTGGTATGTCTGGACGAAGGATAAATCGCGGAATTGAGATGTCCTTCTCACTTGTCCTACAGCCTATCCTCCCCATGAAGGCTGGCATCCGGAAGTCATACACGGTGACCGGACCTTCGTGATCGTCGGGCAACACATCATTCTTAGGCTGCACACCACCTATGCCGAACTCGTCCATGTCCAGATCGGACCCATCATCGGAAAGTTCGTCCAATGCATTGTCTGGAACGTACGAGTCCGAGTGATCAGTGATGAGCAGCCGCATTCCGGTTTCCGTGTCCTTCGCTGCCATATCAATAAAAGTCTGCGCTCGTATCCGAGCAGAAGTCAAGTTGTTCCCGGCGGGCAGGGCCATTGGCCGGGTCGTAACAGAGCCGTGGGAGCTACGGGGGAGGCTGTAACGGTCTGGCTTGAGCAGTGCTTGCCCGCGTGGTATCGGCTGGCATACAGCCTGAAGGACTCCCGGAGGTTCTATATCCGAGGGTGCTCGCAGTGCTTCAAGACGAGGGAAGCCCACGGACAGAATACTCTGAGCTAGATGAGAATTCGGGGACTCTGTATGTCGCGGTGGTTTCACAAACGGAGCGTAATCGAGCCTGCCGAGCCCGGCGGCAGAGTCGGGACCTGTAACGTCCCAATGCAAATATCGAAGCGTCGAAGAGGCGAAAAGCGGTTGAAAGACAATCCCATCGGCATTCAGCGTAGGGTTCTTGTTGCTCTGGACGAACTTGAATCGCTCCAACTGTCTCAGCGATGACAAGATTTTCGAGATCGTAAGCAACGAATCGATGTTCTGTTCGATAAGGGCCAGGGTCTTGAGGGAGCGAGACTCTGGACGCATGGCAAATTGGCAGAGCCCTGAATCAGTCACGCCCGGGAGGTTCTCCAAGCGGAGCGATTCGAGCGACGGTAGGCACAGAAGCGCGCTGTCCGCAAAGGCATCCGCGTCAAAGTTGGAAATGCAAAGATTTCGCAGCGACGGCAGGAGGCTGACCATGCGAAGAAAGATGCTCGGTTCCAGGGCGTTGTTCTCGTTGACGCCATAAAGCATCAGCGTCTCCAAATTAGTCCATGAGACATGGTAGTTGAGAAACTCAAACATCTGCGAGGGGCCCAAGCTCCAGGGGCATGATGTGCTGCGAGGGGATTCTTCAGAGACCGCCGGGGCCTCTCCTAGAACCCATGTGTGCTCCTTCAACTTTCGACGCGTAGACAACGCATGTGTCAGACGATCGAACTCATGGTTATACGGGATGGTCAAGCCGAGCAATCGTTCCAAGTTCGGGCACACCATGACGACCGAGGCGACTAGGTCTCGGTATTCTTGCCATTGAGTGCTCTGCTTCACTGTTGTGAACAACAGGTCCATTTGGGGGACTCGAAGCTCAAGAACGAGATTGGCCAGCAACTTCCTCTCCCGGAGGGTTCGTCTGAGCAACTTCAAGCGGCTTCCCCTTTTGAGTCGGTATTTCTTCAATTGCGACGGCGAATCGTTTCCAATGATGTGTATGCGGTTATACCTGGATGCAAGCCTGATTAGCATACGCGGGAATAGCTATGACGAAGGCCTGGCTGAAAGCAAAACAATATACTCACAACTTCGCTCTGACTCCCTTCTCCCACGCCCGGCAGGTCAAGGAAAGAGCGTGCAAGTCGCGCTGAAAGCATGTTAGGCATCCGGTCTGATTCGGGCCGACATGTAAAAGCTCCAATTGGTCTAGAATGACATCGTAGACTTCTTGCGGTAGTCGCTTGAACACCGACTCCAGTATCTTATCCAGAGAAGCAGCGGAGTCGAATACGCGAGCTGGTGATGTGGGAGAGATAGGAGAGTAGACTGTAGGGGCAGTAGAGACACTGTAATTGCTCTTGAAGGAAGAAACGGATGACGTTCGAGAGGAGACCGGCTGCACTGTCACGGCATATGCTGCATCCTTGCAATGTATAAATTCGCTTTGAGGAATGGGGCTGAAGGGCACAGCAGCGCTCTCGGGTCTACTGGCGACGACACTCATTATGAACACCGGTGTTGCATTTGACGAGCACCGTGAGAGGGCGCACAGGGGAGAGCTAGCGGAGAGAAGAAAAAAAAGTAGTTGTGGTGGTGGTGGCGGCCTGTATGAATAGTGCGCAAAGACCGTTGGAGGCAGAGAAAGGGGGAAAGGCGCTCGAGTGGGGAAACGATGGTCGAAAAGAACGGACGGCACAGGAATGTATAAACAGTAAATTAAGAGGCACACCAGCTAGAGCGTGTATATACGAAGGAGTGTGGATGTAAGGAACGAAAAGGAAGGACACACAGCGAGCAACAGTAAGAAATCACAACGAAAGTTGTAATCTGATGGCCAAAGGAAGTAAGTAGTACTTGAGAAAGAGAGGAAAAAAAGAAAAGACAGCACGGCGCTATTTTAGGAGAACGAGGGGAACATTAGCGTGAGAGCGGGCGCCAACAAGTATCAGGACCACACATTTGGTCGGCTGAAGTTAGTTTGGACGCCCAAAAGAGCTTAACGCAGGACCATTGATGGCACGAGAAAGTCAAGAGGCAGGCCACCGCGAACACGCCACTTCTCCGAGTGTGTACATTCAGTAGTCAAGAGTGGTCGGACTACCAGATAGGAGGACTTGGGACGGCAGTCGAGGGCCGATCGTCCCCACCGGAGGAACGAGGATCTTAGGTTCACTAGTCCGTGGTGAGACTGCAGGGCATCGGCATCACAGCGACTCGTGCTGGAAAAGGAAAAGCGGAGACCTCGGCTCAAACATCACTCCATCCCGATATTCATCCATCCAATACTGACGGACCCAAGGAAGAGCAGCCGTCGCCAGGGGGGAAGGGAGGTAGCGATGCTCGGTTATGACGGGCTGCATCAGCCGTACGGAGGATAATGTGAACTAAGCAGAAGGAAACTGTCGGGCGACTCCAGGATTCAACTGCCAATGCAAAAGCGGACAGAGGCCCGTGAACTAAATCGTTAGCTGGAGGGTTAGTCTTTTGGAGACAGTAGTGGCGGCCGTAGTATCACCCCAAACGAGTAACGATGCGACAATTCAGTGGGAGGATGAGCGACTCCGCAAATGTTTCGCAGGACGGCGCATCATCATTATCATCCCCAGAAGATCAGAAGGCCTGAAAACCGTCAATTGGCTTTATTGTTTTGATGGTGTAGACAGTAGCACACCGTAGCCCCGATCCCACCCAACCGAACCAAGAGTTTGGGATGGGTCAAGGATGACGACGGAGGTGCAGGAGAAGGAAGGAAAAAGGAAGGAAAAGGAGGTGGCAGCCCCGAATCCATGGGATCCCGTGCAGGGGATTGCCTCGACACCCGCGGAACGAGGCAGGAAGACTATACCATGTAGAGTCTAGCGCAGTGACCGGGCTGGCACTAGCGTCAGGAACAACCACGCTAGTCCCGAACTGAGATGATACGCTACGAAAGCCCCTTTTCAGTGCGCATTATTGCTCTCTTTGCTCGACTTGCCCCGGACAAGGTTGATGATCCAGTAGTTGGGGTCTTTTCTGAAGTTTATTTATACCATCCAATGGATTGATGACGTCGATGCTGCTTACGATCACCATACTGAGAGGATTTTACAAAATATTACGATAGAAAAGGCAGCTATTATCTATCGTATTCATGGGGAGTATTAGGGTCGGGAGTATATACATACCATGAGGAATGGAAGTATCATATGTGTAAGTGTACACCGTGCGTACATATGCAGCAGACACGCAGGCAACAGAAATAACGAACTAACCTGCAGCACAGTAGCACGTCTCCTGAAGACGAACCACCGTTATCACCCGTTTAGTCGTCTCTAGTCTAGTCTCCATGGCGATGGGTCCCTTTCCAGCCATCGGCTCGCACCGTCCATTAACCATTGGCTGTTGCGTTGGACCCATTTGTGTGTAGCAGAGGCCTCAGTGCGTATGAGGGGAATATGTGTGTGTGGAAAGTGGAAACCCACGCAGCCTGCAGTTAGTCAGCCCCCCGTTTTTGGAGCATCAATCTCAGACAACGATGGTGAAGGAATTATACCGCGCTCGGAGATAACTCTCTCAATGCGTTCCACCTGTTTCGTCATATAGATTGGTTAATATGGATGCAATAAACAATGACTGTTGTCCGAGCTGAATAACATGCATATAAAAGTCACTCATCGCTATCATCCACACAGCCAATACCTACATTGTAAGTTGATACTAGATACTAGTACATCCTCTTAAATCCGAACTTCCTCCCCCTCAATTTCATCCTGGACTGATTACACAGCATAATATGCTAATGTATAAATAACTACACAAATATCCCGAAACCAACCGATCCGAACAAATGCCGCATGATACACTCCACTCTGCTCCGGCAAGTGCAACATACAACCCTACAACCACTGGCCTGGCATTGATGTGCCATTTTTCTTCCGACCGTTCCAACCCCTCCCCCTGTATCATTGTATATAAATAAGTACTCTCTGTATCACCATCACATCACCATCCACACAATGCCATGGAATAAAAAAAGAAAAGAAAAACAAAACAAGGAACCACAATAGCCTGTTTCACATACTACCACACCCTAACCAACTTAGTACGTATGTAACTCAAGTTGTTCCCTCGAGTCAGGGGTCCGTGGGGCCGTCCGTCCGGTGGTAATGGTGGTAGTGGAAGTGGTGGCTGCAGCACCCCCCCTGCAAGTGTTGCTTCGCTCAACTACAACCGGCCTCACGATTGGCTCGAGTACGTTTTACTTTTGTATTGATTATTTCGGATCTTTGCGAAGGGAAATATGATCTACACTTTGGGTTCCTTGTTGGGGGGTGGTTAGTTCCCGTTTCTGTGTGGTTGCAGGGGAACTAAAATTCAGCCAAGGTTTTTGGTGATGCGAACTGCAGTGGAATGGGGTTCGGGATATCCGTGGGGGGATACACATTATATACATGAACAGGGTACTACTATCAAAGACTCAACCCTAAACAAACACATTCAAAACCTCAATTATTTCATTCAACCATTCATGCGCCCTCAATTGCTTTGTCCACGACCACAACCACCAACAAAGCCACCCCTCACTACAGAATACATACTACCAACTGGACAATCCTCCACAAAATAATAGAAAAAAAAAAAAAAAAAAAAAAAAAAAAAAAAACAAAGAAACGATCATCACAATTATATACCATAAAAGTCTATATCTACCACCCGCACGGCCCCCAAAGCGACCACCACCACCACTTCAAAACCAAGGCATTTAGTATACTAAACTACTAAGTAGTAAGGTTATACCCCATCTAGTAAAGTCTAATAGTGATAATCCCCTAACCCCAAAGACGTGAGTCAGTAAACGCACCAGAGTATCTTTCATTGGCTGGTTAGTGTTCGTGTCTCAGAAACTTTCACACAAATCATCACCATAACTTAGTACTAAGTAGTAGTATCCAAATATAGTTAGGTAGATATCACACTTATCACATCGCATCGCATCTCATCTCAGCTCGGCATTTTATGTTAATTTTGTATATTTATTTATATATCATTTACCCTGTAGGGTTGAACAAACTTGGTTTAAGATCCAATTTGATACTTACCTAATCCCAACACAACACAACACAATCAAATGAAACTACTGACTACTATATATAAATAGTAACCCCGAAGGAATTTCTCATCTGAGCTCAGCGCGATCAAATCACTTAGTAAGTCACTATCGTTGGTACAATCATTAGTAAGTGAAGAGTGCTGTGTGTACTCTTCCCGTGTATGTCAGACAATGTCTCGTTTCAACGAATATTCATGTTTTAGTCTTATCATCGGACAAAAATAGGTCTGTCTGGTCAGTGCACTGGCAGTCTGGTACCCACGATTCATGGCTTTACTTAGGTTCAATGTTGGTTTGTTGGGTCGGTTTCATCCGAGGGTCCATCGGGGGGGGGATTGGGATGGGTTGGGTCGGTTTGAGAAGATCTATCCACTATCCACCTAGTATTTAGTCTAGTATCTAGATAATTTTAGATCGGGGTTGTACGGGTAGATACTAAATAGATATGTATGTAGGGGAAGGGGTGTTCGTCGGACACGGTTTGTCCTGTCCCGATTGATAATGGATATGTGTTTCAGATGGTTATTTTGTGCCGTCTTCGTGGGTTTTGGGGCTAGGGTTGACTTCAATGGTCTGGGCTTTCTCTCTCCCTCTCCCTCTCTGCTACAGTCCGCTTGCTTACTGCACTGTTGTAACTACGATCCGGATACCATGTAAACCTAGAACAAGTCAAGGCAATTTGTGTATATTGTTGACCGATCTAGCCAACAGACAATCTCAAGCAAGCGTCCTCCTGCGCCATGCTGCCGGATAATAACGCCCCTGCATCAACTCTTCACTATGTTGTGCGTGTTTGTCACTCATGCTTGTAACTCCTCCGCATGCGAAAGACAAGGATTCGGGAACAAGACCAATACGAGTTCGCAAAAGCTAACCGCAAATTCAAGGCAGCACGTGGGTCGACCGGCGATGGAGCCAGGCGACTGCCGGATATCACAAGGTTTGACGGAAGAACAAAGTGCAAATGTAAGGTCAAGTATTCGTCGACCAGGCTCATGTCCCTTCCGTGCAGGACAACGCCTGATCGGTGAAGTATATCCAACCATCTATATCCAGATGACCAGTGAAAAAAGAATCAAGACATGGAAGCCGCAGATTGCGATAAAGATATGAAGAAAGCAAAATATGATCAACCACTGCGGGGGACTAATACTGCTGTTACCAGAGCAAGAAAAATAAACAAAAGCTAAGGTGTAAACCACGAATAGCAAACCAGAAACGAAAGGTAACAACAGCTAAGCCCTAATCACCCACGACGGCATGTACAAAGCAAAAAGGTTCAAAAACAGGCACAAATCACAACTCCATTATCATGCATCAGGCCATAATCACATGTCGAAATTGTCATCAACGTTGAAAATACCGGGCTCGCCGCCCTCGTGTGTCCTCTGTACCCCACTCATGCGGTGGTTAGCAGTGCTTGCCGGCTGCTGAGGTCGTTGCCAAGTCTCAGCGTCCTCTTCCATGTGGTCACCAGGCTCATTGGTAAAGTGGTGATCCATGGAGCTTTCATTAACAAAGGTAAAGCCTTTGAAGTTGGCCTGCAGACCGGGAGACAACGGCGTCGACGCCGGCATAAAACCATTGGCAATAGCAGCTGCACGGTCGTTGAGTGAGTTGTTGGTCTCGAGCGCATTCGTGAACTCGGGATCGAAGTTGGAAGTGTCAGTGTCAGACTTGAGCGTTGGCTTGAACGGAGGGATCACCTCCTTCCGGCCCAACGCCTGCCAATCGACGTCGTCAAAGAATGGGTGTGCCATAAGCT